CGGGGCGTCTGTTGGCCTGCTGGCTACCCTCTGCGATGGGACCCCGGTCCTAGCAGTAAAGACACGGACGTTAAACCTTTTCTCAGAAGCATACACACACACACTGCCCTGACCGTCGGCTGACAGAATTGGCGTAGTCGGCAGGATTGTGTTATTGGTTCATATACAGCAACGTGAAGCCTGTCACGATTGACATGGATTTTAGCTGTATAGAAAAGGAGTTTGCCCGAGAGGGATGGGGCAACCCTAAATGGGATAAAGAGATTTTAGAGAAAGGCGCTTGCATCTGGCTGTTAAAGGGTGTGTGGCAAGCAGCCTGTACTAGCTACTGGAAGTTAGAAACAGAGCTTATCAGAGTGCAGAGAGAGAGTTACGAACTCTGGGAGCAATGCCAGAACCTGGATACCCGGGTGCGAACCCTAAATAAGGACATGGAGCACCTACGGGAACAGCTCCTCCTGAGGCTAGAGAGGGGAAGGAGAAAGTAATTAATGGAAAAAAAATGAGCTTTTGGAGCTGGCTTTAAAACTTTGCTGGCTCAAACCCCCGCTCTCCCGCCTTCCACTGTAACTAAGATAAAACAAGACAGCATTCCAGCCCCAGCTATCCCTCCCCCCAATAAGGTGATTGTTTGGCTTCACCCTTATCATTAGTAATTTCTATGAGATGGGTCTCATTACCAGCTAACAATGCCTTTAACTCCAATCCTAGTGGGGAAATACTGACCAGAATTACAGGAATCGCACTGGAACCTCTTTTGATTGGTTGCCACACAAAATTGGCCATTCCAGAGTAGGTCATCCTCTCCATCTTACTTTCCCGTTTGGTCAGCCTCACCAGTGACACATTCTCTGACGATGTCAGCTTTGGGGTTGTTAATGGAACAGACAGCCGCCAACTGTCTGTACATCTCGTTGTCTGAGTCACACACTGGTACTGAGATAGTGAATGAGACATACAAGGAGCAACACATGTGGATCACTTCTTTTCTGACTTTTGAAAACATCTGGGACAATACCAACTCCGCAAATTGTTCATCTTTGATTAGGTGGGATTATAATGCTTTCGTTATTGTGTTGACTACACATTCCACAAATAAAGAGCAGAACATTTTTTTTCCTCAATATTGATCCTTGTACTGAACAGGCTACGTCTAGACTGACATGATTTTCCACAAATGCTTTTAACGGAAAAGTTTTCCGGTAAAAACATTTGCGGAAAAGAGCGTCTAGATTGGCACAGATATTTTTCCACAAAAGCACTTTTTGCAGAAAAGCATCCGTGCCAATCTAGATGCTCTTTTCCGCAAAAAAGCCTCAATCGCCATTTTCGCGATTGGGGCTTTTTTGCGCAAAACAAATCTGAGCTGTCTACACTGGCCCTTTTGCACAAAAGCTTTGCGCAAAAGGACTTTTGCCTGAACAGGAGCAGCTTAGTATTTCCGCAAGAAGCACTGATTTCAGACAGTAGGAAGTCAGTGTTCTTGCAGAAATTCAAGCGGCCAGTGTAGACAGCTGGCATGTTTTTCCGCAAAACCAGCTGCTTTTGCGGAAAAACTTGCCAGTCTAGACACAGCCAACATTTTTAAAATCCAACCAGTTCTGAGGCCACACTCAACTGGCCAAAGAGCTGCACTGGCCAAGCCAACTAGCCACACTCTGCTTGCCAAATACCTGCATGTGGCTAATGGCTAGCATGTTGGACACCACAACAGGCTGATTAATTTAATGTTGTGTCTCATTAACCAGTTGGGTTATAGCATGCACATTCTAAACTGTAAATTGCTCTTCCTGTGACCGTCCCTTGATTCCTGGTAGCACTGGGTTAACTACCCGGTTCACTTCCTCTCGTAACACATGATCTTTATGTTTTTTGAATCTTTCCTTCCCAAAACTGCCTACATGCCTGGCAGGCAGGAGGGCTGTGGTTGTGACATGGCAGCTTAGCTCCTTGGATGCTAGGGAAGGGTGGAGACACAGCATAGCAGCCTGGCTTCCTACCCTTCAGGAAGGGCTGGGGCTGCAGCACTACAGTCGGGCTTCTTGGCTGCCAGGGAGGGCTGGAGCCCGGGCCACAGCATGGCAATCCCAAAACTGCCTACATGCCTGGCAGGCAGGAGGGCTGTGGTTGTGACATGGCAGCTTAGCTCCTTGGATGCTAGGGAAGGGTGGAGACACAGCATAGCAGCCTGGCTTCCTACCCTTCAGGAAGGGCTGGGGCTGCAGCACTACAGTCGGGCTTCTTGGCTGCCAGGGAGGGCTGGAGCCCGGGCCACAGCATGGCAACCTCAGCCATCCAGGTGGCCAGGAGGGATCGGGCTGGGGGTGGGTGGGTTTTGGCTCCAGGGGTGGGACTGGGGTTTGCTTTCCCCAGCTGGGCCTTAACCCTCCACTCGGAGATCATGAAGGGAACCGGAACAGATTCCTTTGGGCTCATGATCTCCCTCCCACGACACGCTCCCCTCCCTGGGTAGGGGCATCAGGTTTGCTGCAGAGCCATTTCCTCGGCGTGCTGCAGCTGGAGCTGCTGACATTGAGGTCGTCATCCAGGTAGGCGCAGTCGGCTCCCCCTTGTATTTCAAACCTGCAAGCCAGAGGCAGTCGGAGCTAGAGTCAGTGTGTGCCAGGCACAGACCGGGGGAGACACCCCAGGAGAGGGAGGGGAGCTACCGCACTCACAGCCCCTCAGGATCCCCACCA